TCTTTGGGATCTCACTATGTCTAAAACCACAGCCAATAATTTGACAGCAGTTTACCCACAACTCTACGGACTTGGGATCAGTTAGTTCCTTTGGTTTTCTGGTGGCTGTCACAGACACCAGTGAAACAGTGACAGGTTGAGGAGAAGATGGGCATCAAAACCATGATCCCTGAGCGTTTAAACCACAGACAGTTATTATATTGAGATTTTTCATACTCGTTATCATGTGGTTCGTTTAACAAATGGTTTCAGTTTTGTTTGTCAATCGTGCTGCTCCCTGTGAGGTAGTGCCTGGTGCTGGGGCCAGGGGTCAGTGAGGAAATCCTGACTGATCTCTCGCTCACTGAGCCCAAGCCCCTGCTCTAAGCACTAATGGTGTACAGACCTGAGCTGCGAGGAAAGCACAGCTTCCTGGGCTCTGTGAAGTGGAGAACACCATACACTGGGAGCACATTGCAGGGTGGAGGAGACATCAGGCCCTGAAGCTGCAGTCCACACACAATGTCCCTCATCACAATAATAGCCTTGGATTTCACATTGTGACTTTTTAAAAGTCATCAAAACATCTCAAATAATTTCACAGAATTTACTGTAATAATAATAAGTGTAGTGACTGAATTCTGTAGACAAATGCAGTAGCCAATTTGTGCACAGCAATGTCCCACAAACAACCATGAGGTGAATGACTGAATTTATCTGGGGGATTGTCAACCAAGTCACGGGAAGAGAGAAACTCGCTTCTGTTTTCAAACAGTGTCGCGGCGTATTTAACCTGCACCTGAACGGGCAGAGAGAGGAGCTCAATCTCACTTTGTATCCAAGCGACGGCCCCTCAAACACCAACCGATTAATCATAATTAGTGCAAGGATTAATTAATAATAATCCTTGCAGTTGAGACGTCTTTGAGACGTTTCAAAGTGTTTCACAGAATATACTGTAAAGTGAACTGACTGTATTTTGTGGGCGAAATGAGGCAATTGTGCACAGCAGCGTTCCACAAACAGTTGTGAGTTGAGTGACCAAATTATTATTTTTTAAAAAAAAATTCTAGGGATTATTTACACCCGGAAAAGCAATCCGCCAATCAACAGACAACCAGGTTCCTACCTACTGCTGGTAAACAGAGGGTACAAACTGCTATCAAGAGGAAAACTGGATTTCAGGATAAGGTCACAGAGCAAGTGAATGTCAGCCGAGTGGCCGTAACAAAGCCCAGAACCTCCCTTCAAAATATACAATTATTTTGTAGACTTTATGCGCTGAGGTGCAACTGACTGTAAGAAGTCAGTGGGTCCAGATGATAATAAAGCTTGTTTTCGACGCAGCAATGTTACCATCGGGGTGTGTCAAACCGTACGTCAGGAATTACAGTTATGTGTAGTGACTGGTTGTGCAGGACATGTGATTGCTGCCTTCCATTCAATCTCAACCCCTCAATGCAATCGTTCTCTCTGTCTCTCTGTCACTGACACTTGTCCACATGGCTGCTCCGGCAGCTCCAATCAGCGGCACCAACACGCCAGTCACCCGCTGCACTGCTGTCACTCACCCCAATCCTGGCCTGCGTGATGGAGCCGGTGTAACTGCCATTACTATTATTATTATCATTAGACAACAATTCAGAACTAAAATAACTGTGCCATTAACCAGAAAGGTATTTGGAGTCATACTAAAACTTCCTGCACTAACTCGATCCGATTAGCTATCATCTGCGGCTCCTCTGATGATCTCAAGACGATAAAGGTTCTCCTTCCTGACACAGCAAAAGGCACCGATGGAACGCGGAGAGCCGGAGAGCGGAGAGCCGGAGAGCGGAGAGCCGAGCGGAGAGCCGAGCGGAGAGCCGAGCGGAGAGCCGAGCGGAGAGCCGAGCGGAGAGCCGAGCGGAGAGCCGAGCGGAGAGCCGAGCGGAGAGCGGAGAGCCGAGCGGAGAGCCGGAGAGCGGAGAGCCGAGCGGAGAGCGGAGAGCCGGAGAGCGGAGAGCCGAGCGGAGAGCGGAGAGCCGAGCGGAGAGCGGAGAGCCGGAGAGCGGAGAGCCGAGCGGAGAGCGGAGAGCCGGAGAGCGGAGAGCGGAGAGCCGAGCGGAGAGCCGGAGAGCCGAGCGGAGAGCGGAGAGCCGGAGAGCGGAGAGCGGAGAGCCGAGCGGAGAGCGGAGAGCCGGAGAGCGGAGAGCCGAGCGGAGAGCGGAGAGCCGGAGAGCGGAGAGCCGAGCGGAGAGCCGGAGAGCCGAGCGGAGAGCGGAGAGCCGGAGAGCGGAGAGCGGAGAGCCGAGCGGAGAGCGGAGAGCCGGAGAGCGGAGAGCCGAGCGGAGAGCCGAGCGGAGAGCGGAGAGCCGAGCGGAGAGCCGAGCGGAGAGCGGAGCGGAGAGCCGAGCGGAGAGCGGAGAGCCGGAGAGCGGAGAGCGGAGAGCCGAGCGGAGAGCCGAGCGGAGAGCGGAGAGCCGAGCGGAGAGCCGAGCGGAGAGCGGAGAGCCGAGCGGAGAGCGGAGAGCCGGAGAGCGGAGAGCCGAGCGGAGAGCCGAGCGGAGAGCGGAGAGCCGAGCGGAGAGCCGAGCGGAGAGCGGAGAGCCGAGCGGAGAGCGGAGAGCCGGAGAGCGGAGAGCGGAGAGCCGAGCGGAGAGCCGGAGAGCGGAGAGCGGAGAGCCGGAGAGCGGAGAGCCGGAGAGCGGAGAGCCGGAGAGCGGAGAGCGGAGAGCGGAGAGCCGAGCGGAGAGCGGAGAGCGGAGAGCGGAGAGCGGAGAGCGGAGAGCGGAGAGCCGGAGAGCCGGAGAGCGGAGAGCCGAGCGGAGAGCCGGAGAGCGGAGAGCCGAGCGAAGAAAAGATATAACTCCTAATTCCTAATGATCTCAGTAAACCCACTGGGGCCCAAGTCACAGGGAATGTTATTCTGCTTATAACCCACTGCCTGAAGTCAACTGCTCAGCGCCCAAACACACCCCCACACACACACACCCCCACACACACACACCCCCACACACACACACCCCCACACACACCCTCACACACACACCCCCCACACACACACACCCCCCCACACACACACCCCCACACACACACACCCCCACACACACCCCCACCCCACACACACACACCCCCACACACACACCCCCACACACACACCCCCACACACACACACCCCCACACACACACACCCCCACACACACACCCCCACACACACACCCCCACACACACACACCCCACACACCCCCCCACACACACCCCCACACACACACACCCCCACACACACCCACACACACACACACCCCCACACACACACACCCCCACACACACACACCCCCACACACACACACCCCCACACACACACCCCCCACACACACCCCCACACACACACACCCCCACACACACACCCACACACACACACCCCGACACACACACACCCCGACACACACACCCCGACACACACACCCCCACAACACCAAACACACAGCCCCAAACAAACGCACACACCCCCAAACAAACGCACACACCCCCAAAACAAACACACACACAGCCCAAACACACACACCCCAACACACACACACCCCAAACACACACACACCCCAAACACACACACACCCCAAACACACACACACCCCAAACACACACACACCCCAAACACACACACACCCCCAAACACACACACCCCAAACACACACACCCCCCAAACACACACACACCCCCAAACCACACACACCCCCAAACACACACACAAACACACACACACCCCCAAACACACACACACCCCCAAACACACACACACCCCCAAACACACACACACCCCCAAACACACACACACCCAAACACACACACACCCCACACACACACCCCAAACACACACACACACCCCAAACACACACACACCCCAAACACACACACACCCCAAACACACACACACCCCCAAACACACACACACCCCCAAACACACACACACCCCCAAACACACACACACCCCCAAACACACACACACCCCCAAACACACACACACACCCACACACACACACACACCCAAACACACACACACCCCCAAACACACACCACCCCCAAACACACACACCCCCCAAACACACACACACCCCCAACACACACCCCCCCCAAACACACACACACCCCCAAACACACACACACCCCAAACACACACACGCCCCCAAACACACACACACCCCAAACACACACACACCCCCAAACACACACACACCCCCAACACACACACACCCCCAAACACACACACACCCCCAAACACACACACACCCCCAAACACACACACACCCCCACACACACACCCCCCACACACACACACCCCCACACACACACACCCCCACACACACACACCCCCACACACACACACAAACCTGGGGCTCAGATCTCTCCATTGCCTTCATTTGAAGGCCCAACAAACCTGAGGTCAGTGCTCATCACTATGAGACACATCGCAAATGCTCATCAAAAGTGAACCCAATTACCCGCGGAACACAACGCAGATATCTCACACTTCTACACCACTGTCCCCTCCACAACACCGCCCAGGAATCCGGGCATTCCATACAGCGCCTCACAGCGCCTCACAGGACACACCGCCAAGTGTAGTGACTGTGCTCAGGGAGAAGGAATACACTGAGAGGGGCGGCTATACATGTAGGAAATTGCTGTATAAACACCAGTTGCTGATCCCCCCGACCGCCCCCGACCCCTCCCCCGCGACCCCCGGGGCCCGACCCCTCCCCCGCGACCCCTCCCACCCCCGACCCCCCCACCCCCGACCCCTCCCACCCCCGACCCCCCGGGGCCCGACCCCGCGACCCCCCCCCCCGGGACCCCTCCCACCCCCCCGGCTCCCCCCCCCCGCGGGTCCACCGCGCAATGACCGAGGCTTCAGTCCCCCCCGCGGGCCCGAGGCCTGTGTCCGGCTGTGAGGCCTATGGGATCCCCGGGTTTTCCTGCGTCTCCCTCCCGCTCAGCTGCGGCTGAGCTCCGGTTGGGCTCCGGTGCGGCCGCTCTCTCACCTGGTCCCCGAGGCTCAGGATCCCCATATCCCGCGCACTCCACACCCCTCAGTGGCTCTGAGCTGATGGCGGCGCATCACTGAGCAGAGAGCGCGGGGCAGCGGCCGGAACGGAGCCGCCTTCAGCGGGAGAGCATCAGCGCCACCTCCCGGCCCCGCCCGGTACTGCGGCTCTCCGGCTCCAGCGCCACCTCCCGGCCCCGCCCGGTACTGCGGCTCTCCGGCTCCAGCGCCACCTCCCGGCCCCGCCCGGTACTGCGGCTCGAAGCGGCCTCTGGACTTTCAAGTGATCAATGAAAGTTACACCTGAAAACAGACCATTTGGTCAAACTTGTGGTTGTTCATCCTGCGCCCCCCCTCCCCCCCCTTTCCCCCTCTCCCCCCTCCTTCCCCCTCTCCCCCCTCTCTCCCCCCCTCCCCCCTCTCTCCCCCCTCCCCCCCCCTCCCCCCCCCTTCCCCCTCCCCCCTCTCTCCCCCCTCCCCCCCTCCTTCCCCCCTCTCCCCCCTCCCCCCTCCTTCCCCCTCCCCCCCCTCCTTCCCCCTCTCCCCCTCCTTCCCCCTCTCCCTCTCCCCCCCTCCCCCTCTCCCCCCACCTCCCCCTCCCCCCACCCCTTCTCCCCCTCCCCCCACCTCCTCCTTCCCCCCACCTTCCCCCTCTCCCCCTATCCCCTCTCCCCCTCCCCCCCACCTTCCCCCTCTCCCCCCTCCCCCCCCACTTCCCCCTCCCCTCTCCCCCCACCTTCCCCCTAATAAAATAAAATAAAAATAATAAAATAAAAATTATTTTTAGTGAAGGATGACCCTGGAGTCTGACTCGCCAGTGGTCAGAGGCTCCGTTGTTCCCATGAGAGGTGGTGTCTGTGCTCTGTTGGGGTCTGAGCCCCACTGCACTGCCGGTTTCTGGGACTTTGCTGCTCCTATGGACAAAACCCACAGTGCACGATGTCCAATTTAACGCTACTGTGAAGTAAAGACTAACACAAATCTTGTACAATTAATCAAGGTTTATTAATTAAAATTAGTAACAGTTATAGGTAGTTAAAAGAATACAACAGAATAATTACGTATCAACATGATACGAGAGAGACAGAGAATGGGAGAGAAGGGGAGAGGATGGGAAGAGAGAGCGAGAGAGAGGGAATGAGAAGAGAGGTAATGAAAGGGGGAAGGGAAGAAGAGCAAGAGAGGGAAAGGCGGAAGGAGAGAAAGAGAGTCAACTCATATATATATATATATATATTTACAGTTAAATCGTAGATTTCTTTCCATAAAATAATGAGAAAGATATCCAAAAGGTAACATTTTAAGAGGAATATCGTTAAAGAATATGGGGGAAGAGCAAAGGAATCCATCATCTGCCATCACATCTCAATCCATCCCGACTTCCCCAAGTCTCTATCGTGGAGTCCTGTAGCTCAGTGGTTAGAGCACTCGCTTTGCGAGCGAGAGACCTGAGTTCAATCCCAGGCAGAGGGCCAAACCTCGGGCAAGTTTCCTTACTCCACACAGAGCCTAATAATAATCCTTTCAAACCCAAAAACAATAATAAATTGGTCATTTTCAATCTACGACTGTTTGTGGGACATTGCTGTGCGCAATTGGCTGCCGCGTTCGCCCACAAATATACAGTCAATTCACTTTACAGTGTGTTCTGTGAAGCGCTTTGGGACGTCCTCCCGACGTGAAAAGCGCTATATCAAATGCAAGGATTATTATTATTATTATTATTATTATAACATACAGTTCACAATGATGAACGTTGGCCAAACCAAATGTTGTGGAAGAGAGGAGTAATGTCCGATTTATTGTCCAATTGAATCCAATTTTAATCTATCAAAAGGTATCCAAGTACAACAAAATACAATACAACATTATATTTGTAAAGCGCCTTTCATGTCGGGAGGATGTTCCAGTTAGTGATTAGGACCTGATTGGGGGTGGGGGCTTGGTGGTTGGGGTCAGGGAGGGTGGAGGGCAGAGATTGTAGGAGGGTGGCTGAAGGCACAGTCAAAGAGGTATTGAAGTGTGCCTTGAAGGAGGTGAGCGTGGAAACAAGGCAAAGGGAATGTGGGATGGAGTTACAGATGGTGGGAGCAGAGAGACTGAAGGCTCGACTGCCGATGGTGAGAGTAATCCTCGCTTCTCCAGCCTCTCCTGATAACTGAAGTCCCTCATTCCTGGTATAGAGGATACAGTTCAAGATCCTGGTCCTCACCTCAAAGCCCTCCATGGTCTCGCTCCCCCTGAGCTCTCCGACCTCCTCACCCCCTACCACCCTGTTCACTCCTTCTGCTCAGCGGGCTCCGGCCTGCTTCACATCCCCCGCCTCGCTCACCCCACTATCAGCGGGCGGGCCTTCCGCCACTCTGCCCCCACCCTCTGGAACCCCATCCCGCAGTCCCTCCGTCTCACCCCCTCCCTCTCCTCCTTCAAGATCCACCTAAAGACCCTCCTCTTTGACTGTGCTTTCGCTCTCCCTGCTCCCCCCTCCCCCCCGCCGTCCCCCCCACCATCCCCCCTCCCCCCCGCCGTCCCCCCTCCCCCCGCCCTCCCCCCGCCATCCCCTTCCCCCCCAGCTCGGGTCCAAAACACCGTCTGTCCAGCGCCTTGGGATGTCCTCCTGGCGTGAAAGGCCTTACACCAGATCATGTTGTTGTTTATGTGACCCCCCCTCCCCCCCGGTCTCTGCTCCTTTCAGCTGACATGTAGGTTTGCGAGTCTCCGAGACCTGATCAGACGCTGCGATCAAATGTATCGATGATGGTTATTATTGCCTGCTGTTGTTGTTGTTGCTGTTGTTGTGGGGGAGGTGCAGTGAGTGAGAGGCAGCCCTCCTGATCACTGAAGTCCCTCATTCCTGGTGCCATTCTGGTCAATCTCCTTTGCACCCTCTCCAATGCCTTGACATCCTTCCTAACGTGTGGGGCCCAGAACTGAACCCAGTCTCTCGCTGAGGCCTCACCAGTGTTTTATATAAAGGTTCATCAGAACTTCCTGACTGTTGTATTCTTTGCCCCTATTTTTATAGTATCCCTATGCTTTTTTAACAGCTGTACCTCCCTGTCCGGCCACCTTCAGAGATTTACTTGTATGACCTCCAGGTGATGCACTTTGGGAAGATGAATGAGGAGGTAATATAAGCTTAAAGGAGGTGTTCTGTATAATTCTATGATTCTATGATAAATGTCGTCACTGGAACTGATCTGTGACGTAGGAGCAGCTGTAGGCAATTCGGCCCCTCGAGCCTCCCCCACCATTTAATAAGATCATGGCTGATCTTGTAAGTGTAACTGGGCTGATCCGGGTGTCAGTGTACACGGGGCTGATCCGGGTGTCAGTGTACACGGGGCTGATCCGGGTGTCAGTGTACACGGGGCTGATCCGGGTGTCAGTGTACACGGGGCTGATCCGGGTGTCAGTGTACACGGGGCTGATCCGGGTGTCAGTGTACACGGGGCTGATCCGGGTGTCAGTGTACACGGGGCTGATCCGGGTGTCAGTGTACACGGGGCTGATCCGGGTGTCAGTGTACACGGGGCTGATCCGGGTGTCAGTGTACACGGGGCTGATCCGGGTGTCAGTGTACACGGGGCTGATCCGGGTGTCAGTGTACACGGGGCTGATCCGGGTGTACAGCGTGCGGTACAGTCAGGAGAGAGACTCGGGGGTGGGGGGGGGGGGTGGGGGCTGATATCCAGATCCAGTCCAGTTCCCAGCAAAGCTCAGGCCGCCTTCCCCCACACACATCGCGACACAGAGCCCGACCCGGACCCGGTACCTGAGCAGCCGCCGCCCCCGCGGGACTCCCGCCAGAGGCTGCCCGAGCGCCCACTGCCGCCAACTCTCCATCTCCCGGTCCCTCCCGGTCTCCGCCTCTCACACACGGCTCCCGCTCCGCTTTAACAGAGGAAACTGTGTGAGGCTGAAAGGCCAAAGCCTCCCCCCACCTTCATCATCACCACCACCACCATCATCATCACCACCACCATCATCATCATCATCACCACTACCACCATCATCATCATCACCACTACCACCATCATCATCACCACCACCATCATCATCATCACCACCACCGCCATCATCATCATCATCATCACCACCACCATCATCATCATCATCATCACCACCATTATCATCATCATCACCACCACCATCATCAGCATCACCACCACCGCCATCATCATCACCACCACCAGCATCATCATCATCGTCATCATCATCATCACCACCATTATCATCATCATCATCATCACCACCACCACCATCATCATCATCATCACCACCACCACCATCATCATCATCACCACTACCACCATCATCATCATCATCATCACCACCGCCATCATCATCACCACCACCACCATCATCATCATCATCATCACCACCATTATCATCATCATCATCATCACCACCACCACCATCATTATCATCACCACCACCATCATCATCATCATCACCACCACCACCATCATCATCATCATCATCACCACCACCATCATCATCATCACCACCATTATCATCACCACCACCACCACCATCATCATCATCATCACCACCACCACCACCCAGGGCTGCCTCTCACTCACTGCACCTCCCCCACAACAACAGCAACAACAACAACAGCAGGCAATAATAACCATCATCGATACATTTGATCGCAGCGTCTGATCAGGTCTCGGAGACTCGCATACCTGCCCCTTATCTCGGGGTCCCTGCCCCTTATCTCGGGGTCCCTGCCCCTTATCTCGGGGTCCCTGCCCCTTATCTCGGAGTCCCTGCCCCTTATCTCGGGGTCCCTGCCCCTTATCTCGGGGTCCCTGCCCCTTATCTCGGGGTCCCTGCCCCTTATCTCGGGGTCCCTGCCCCTTATCTCGGGGTCCCTGCCCCTTATCTCGGGGTCCCTGCCCCTTATCTCGGGGTCTCTGCCCCTTATCTCGGGGTCTCTGCCGCGACTGAAGGTGCTGCTGACTGGAGCAATGGTGGGACCAGTGGCTGATTTTCATCCGATCGCTGCCCCCCATCGTACTTCCTGAACCTTGGTTCCTCTTCTCTCCAGAGTCTGAGGGTGAGATCAGAGACACCACAACAGACCATTCACCCCGTCCAGTGTAATCCCTGACCCCCGCTTGCTCCTCCCCATCCCCCCAACTTACACAGCCTTTTAATATTCGTCCCCTTTCAAAAATGAACCTGATTTGATGGTGTAAGGATCCTCAGGTTGGGAGTAGTTTTGTGATGATCTGAATGTTTGTGCGTCTCTTGATGTGTTTGGATGAATCTCCTCCTGTCAAAAGTGGGAAAGTTGCAAGAGATCGATATTTACTCGGTCACATGTGTGACCCCCCCACACACATGGTGCCAGTGTGTTGTCCTCGCACACACGGTGCTGATCTGGTCTGGCTCTGCTTGGGCTCAGGAGACACGGAAGTAAACAGCGTGTAAACACATCTCCTTTCCCCTCTCCCAGACACATGTCATCTTGCAGAACCCTCATAGCCAGAATAGCCAAACCAGAGCCCTGCGTGTGCCTGTCAAGCACAGCCCCTCCACGCCGAACATTCCTGAGCTTTCCTGGGCCTTTGACCTACAAGAGGAAGGAATACGCAGAGAGACGGATACTCGGGTAAGAGCTGTTTTGCCTTAAACGCTATGTCATCACCCTGTGTGGCCTCACTTGGTCAAGGTAAAGGGTCTGACAATGCTCTCGCCTCAGGGGCACAGCTCTGTCTGTGTCGGGGGTGTTAAGGAATGCCACATTGTCGGGCCTTCGGATGAGATGTTAAACCAGGTTCCTGCCTGGCCTGTTCAGGTGGATATTAAAGATCCTGTGGTTCTATCGGAAAAGAGAAGTGAGTTTCTCAGGGTATCCTGGCCAACAATCCCAGTAAATCTCTAGTTTCTGTGGGATGTTGCTGTTCGCAAATTAATTGGCTGCCGCATTTGCCTGTAAAATGCAGTCACTGCCCTTGACAGTAAGTTGCTGTAAGTGCTCAGTGCTCTTGTAATGTTACAGACACTGTGTCTGATGTTAGGATCTTGTATTCCAGGCAATCTGCACGGATGGGAAATTGTTTAACCACTTTGTGGAGGTTTAGCCCTGGAATTCCTGGTTACCCCCGAACCTGCACTGTGGATTTTTCAGTAAGGTTTTTGCTTCAAATTTATTTCGTTAATTTTATTTAACAGAACCTCTGCACACGTTGAAACGGGTTTAATGGCCATTGACTCCTGGGGCGACAGGACAGGCCAGAGCTTGGCACAGAATGGAAGGGCCCAGGTTCAAATCCTCATCAGAATCAGTCTGTTCGCTAAAGCAAATGCAGCCATCATTATCATTAGCTTTGCTGTATCTTATCAATAATAATAATCCTTGCATTTGATGTGGCACCTTATCGTATCATATTGTGGGCAAAAATGCAGCAGCCAATTGCGCACAGCGGCGTCCCACAAACAAACAAACAAAACAATGTTGTCCTTTTTCCAGATCTCGTTCGAATTCCATTCATGCCTGCACTCGCAGCTTGCCAGTCTTCTTTGACGAGGTGGTGAAGCAGATGGTGGCAGCATTTGAGTGCCAGGCCGGCAAACTGAGACGAGGATCCCCCGGGAGCTGATGTTTCACAAGGTTCACCAGACGTGAGCGGGACAGTCAGCGGCACAGGACCCGCTCGAGACAAAAGCTGACGACCCTGTACCTGTTTTTTTTAAAACTTCTATTTATTCATCACTGTTCTACGTTATAATGGCACTAATTTATGAAGAGACGGACCTGCCATCGACAGACAGACTCAGGTTTGTGTGTTGCAAAGAGAGAAAAATCCAGTGGAGGTCACGAGGTTACGCGATGCGGCGCGAGGGGAAGGGGTTTCCCAGGCGGCTGTTGCTCTGGATTCCATCTGGGAACTTGCACCGAAGGGGCCTGAGCCTGAGCAGGACCCTGAGAGCAAATCTTAGTGCTCAATATTTTTATTTTTTTTAAATTATTTTGTTTAAAAAAGGAAATTGTGCGTGTGCGGAGTGTTTGCGGGGTGGAGCGTGCGGGGCATATGCAGAGCGTGTGCGGGGCGGAGCGTGTGCAGGGCCTGGGTGGAGCATGTGCAGGGCAGAGCGTGTGTGGGTGTGTCTTGAGGGTGTGTGTAGTGCCTCCCATCAGAAATGCTTCCGTTTGTGGGCAGTTGTTGGTTTTCTTATAACTATCTTGTTTTTCTGCATAAAGAACCACAAAAGCATTGATCCTTTTTAATGGTTCTCGTGTTTGTAATCAGTGAGTAAACAGACCGGAGAGGCCCAGCTCCATCCTCCCTTGGTGCAGAGTCACTGATCACAGCTGGGGGGGGGTGACACATATCCACACTGCTGTACAGTTGGTATCGAGTGGTCGCTGATGAGCAAAGGATTGGCATCCACTGTCATGTATCCCCCCCGTTCTCTGTGTCCCACTCCCAGGTACCTCCTCCCCGTGGCCTGGCCACCCCACCCATCCCACTCCCAGTGCCAGGCAGAAGTCAACACCTCCAATAAGGAAATTGGAGGAATTGGAGGAAACTGGTGAGTTAAGACGCTGATCCTGTAAACAGCAATGTACTCAAATGGAATATAGAATGAGACATTTTCCTCAAATACAAGATTGTATTGTTGAGCTGTTGGTGAATGTTTGCGAATCACAAGTCATTTTGTTTTAATGAATGGGGGGGCTTCATTACTAACCTTTTCATCTCTTGCCCATCACGCCCCCACCATCAAATCAAGTGAGTGAAACCAGCCCCATGTAATGAGAGCCTGGCTCTATCGCTCACACTCTCGCATGTGGGTCACAAGCTTGTGGGGACTTTGAGCTCAGTCCAGCCTGACATTCTAGTGCAGTGTTTGCACTGGAGGGAAATCACTGTCAGAGTCACTGTCCTACAGACCAGAAGTTAAACCAAGATCATTTCTCCCTCCTCTGTGGTCACTCAACCTGACAAACCTCACTGTCCTGGGCTCAGGGGTGAATTATGGCCTGGGCGGGGAGGCACCACAGCTCATGGAACACTGTCTCAGCACAAGCCAGCACCAAAGGCCCCGTTTGTGCTGCATTGACGTGAATATAGGAAAGAAAATAGGGATAAATCTGAGGTGAAAGCAAGATTGAAGAAAAGGCAGCATCTAAACTGGTGTAACTGAGATCGACTTTCCACATTCAAACCCCAACCCACATCACCATGAGCCTGCCGGGCAAGTTCATTTACCGTTTGATTAATTCCTCTGCTCTAAATCCGCAGTAATCTGTCCGAGCTCCTCTCTAATCCTGCTGTGCGAGTATCTATGTCCAGTGTGACAGGTCTCAGAGAAGCGCATTTGACCGTATGAGTGGGTATTGTAGCTGCTTAATCACAGGAGAAATCTCTAGTTCGGAGCATAGCCAGGGTGAGAGCAGATTCTGTTCCACCAGTGAGTTCAGACAAGCCACCCTGTCCCTGGCTCAGGCACTTGAACTCACTCACCTTTGGATCAGAAGTTTGTAGATTTGGCCACACACTGATATTCAACTCACAGTCCATTGGCTGAAAAACCCAAATCCACAATAAATACGGAAATGCCACAGACTTCAGTATCCCAAAGGAGTAGCTTCCACTAACAGCCAGCAACCGGACCTGAACAGCAAGCGCGGGGCTGAGAGATTCCGCTATCAAAGGCGTTCCCAAACCAACGCAGCCAACACTGGTGACCTCAGGGACTGGCCTGAGCTTTTGAAAAAAGATCAACAAGGTCACCGTTTTCATCTTCTCACCCTGACCCCCTACACTGTACAGGTCAGCACTGCTGAGCTCAGGGTGTCCACAGAAGTGGTTAACTTTACAAAGAGTTGAGAGCAAATGGTGAGAAAGATTATTGGTGTTGATCAGCAACACCTAACTATAATCTGGATCATCACTAGAAATACAACGGGGAGGTTAGAAGAGATGTTTGTCTTTTATACAAAGGTTGTTCAAGGTGTAACATGTTACAAGTGAACGTTGACACCAATTCAGTTACGCATCAGACAAGGGAGTGACAAACGTTTGAAAAGATATAATAAAAAGGGTGAAGAAAGGGCAGGTAGTTCTAGGCCAGACAAGAGAGAGAAAGAGTAGAGAATTGGAATAAGACTAGAGAGCTCCAACAGGGGAATGAGCACCAGCAGAGACACAATGGGTTTGATGGCCTCACACTGAGCTGAGCGAGTGCTAGCTGTGGCTCACGGTTAAAGTGAATGATGGTTAAACCCGAGTCACTTCAGGTTAAAGTCAGCGGTTTCACAAAAACAAAGTAAACCTTGGGTGATTTTATGCTGGCAAATCTCATGCCAAAGTGACTCAGTCACAGGCTCCCATCCAGAATAAGTGTGTGTGAGAAACACGCACACACACACACTTATGCAAGTGATTTGTGTGTGTGGGGGTGGGGTGGGAACACACACAAAGGGGCAGGAAAGCAGAAGACAGACCAGGCAGATGGGATCCGTTTGTTTTTTTATAAAGGACGACATCTCCATGAATGCGGTACAGCCCAGCACTGCAGTTGGGTTCAGGTCAGATTCAAAGATTTGAAGTGAGGTTTGAACCAATAAACGTCCGACTCGAGGCGAGGACACAATAAAATGCAAGGATTATTAGAATTTGTGGGTCCCATCCCGACTAAGGCCAGTAGCTGAGCACAGGGTAGCAGCACCATCCCAAATATGGGCAAGACATGCACCCACTCCCACCCAAATACAACAAATGCTCTGCTGGTGTCAATAATAAAAACATTTATTTCGTTATTTAACTCAGAACAACCTGACATATGAGACATGATCAGTACATTTACAACAAATTGCTTTACAACGCTCTACTGTAGCTGGAGTACAGCGGGGAGGGAGATAGCCACAATAAAGGTAAAGAAAGATCGGTCTAGTCTCTTCCCAAGGAGTGTTTACCTGTCCAAACCTGATGGACAAACCGTCTGGCACATAAAAAAAAATTGAAATGTTAATAATTAAATTAAATTCTTTTCACTCTGCAAGTTTTCAACCCAAAACACAAAAATATATAAATCATCTCATTCATCAGGTTATTCTGAATGGCCACTTTCAGCGACTTGCCTCAAGGTGGCAACATTTACACTGGATGCGTATAAGCACAGATGTGTTTTTAATATTAACTTCCTCAACCAGGGCGGCTCAACCAGACTTGTCTCCCACCAGATGTATGAGGCCGTCAGTGCTCATGGACTTGGGTCTCTCCAACGGGAAGCCTAAGGCTCGGCTCCAGATAAGCTGTGCCAACACGCCCAGCGCTCTGGAGACGCCAAACAACACCGTGTAGTAATTCATTTCTTTCATTCCATAATACTGCAAGAGAAAAGTACCCCATTAATGCAGATACCCACACAACACGCCATATTATATATATATATATACATACACACACACACACACACACACACACAGAGTCCTCTAGCTCAGTGGTTAGAGCACTTGCCTCGCAAGCGAGTGGATTTAGGTTCAATTCCTGGCAGAGCGAAATGTTGGGCAAGTTTCCTTACTCCACATGCCTGTTTACCAGCAGTAAATAGTCCCTGGTTGTTAAGTCAATTGTTGGATTGCTTTTCCGGGGATTAATAATTCTTTCAAAAAAATAATAAATTGGTCACTCAATCCACGACTGTGCAATTGGTTGCTGGTTTCGCCCACCAAAAAAAATACAGTATATTCTGTAAAGTGAATACAACAGTACGCTAGTGGTTGGGGACACAATACCTCAGAAGCATCACTAGAAGCACGAGCTACATTTACAGATGTGGACCTGGTGCAATCCAAATTTGAGGGTGGCTCAGGCCAGTAAACGCATTTATGAAACAGCTGATACTAAAATGGGAAAAAGATCCAGGAAAAGGATAAATGAATGTGACCATTAGGCCTGGGGCTCTCACCTGCAATAACACACCGCTATGCGCATCCACGTTGGGCCACGGGTTCTTGGCTTTGCCCTGATCGAGGAGAACTTTGGGTACAATCTTGTAGAGTTGGGAGACGAGCTTAAACAAAGGGTCATTGGGCAGGTGTTTCAGGGCAAACTCCCTCTGGCAGGTGTAGCGGGGATCAGTCTTCCTCAGAACAGCATGGCCGTAACCAGGAACCACCTGAAACAAAGGCACCAAGCACTCAGAGGTCAATCAGCAGCAGCCAAAGACCAACTGGCCTGACATTGGGCCATACTGAAGCGAGGCCGAGCACTCTGATTCCTCCCTCTGTGTGCCACATGGAGAACGGCACAGAAACCAAGCTTCACCACAGCCACTGCAGCTCAGGAGCAGAGCAGGTCAGCATTTGTGCGCTTTCCTCTGTGGCAGCGCAGTGAAGATCAGCACCTCAGCCGAGCAGCATATTGCAAACGCACCGGTGCCTGGAGTGCCAGCATGCCACCCACGTCCTTGCGCCCGCCTGGCTCAGGGGTCAGGTGAGTGTTCTCGCTTGTCTGAACAGGGCTCTGAGAAGTGCCTCCTCATCTTTGCAGCATGGCATGCACTCAGTCCTGCCTCCACGTTGCTTTTCGAAGCGTAAGCTTCTAATAAAATCACAAGTGTAAACAGATAAACCTGCATCAGCAGCCAAGCCACTACACTGCATAGCACAGCTCCTTTAACACCACTGCCAGTCTAGCAGCAAGCCGTGGGGTTCCGTAGCCCTTTCTTGGGAGACTGTCTGTAGACTCTGGGGTGAAGACGGACAACACTGGAGCCAAAGGAGACAGTGAAGTTTTGAGCGCGCGCACACACATGCACGCACACACAGGTATGACATTATCCATTGTGCAGATCAGATACGTAGAGTAACGAGTAGAGAAAGGCCACAAGCCAATCAAGTCCCCTCTCCGATCCAAATCAACCCCCCCAACTCTAAATCAACTTCAGTCAGTCTGTCAGGGAGGTGAGAACCAGAGCAAAAAAATCACAGAAACCAGGGGAAAAAATACCGTGGAGAATTGCTGCCTGTCTACTGCTCCTGGAGTGGGCTGGCCCGGTACCAACACAAGAGGTAGTAACTGATCCCTACACCCTGACATAGCGCTGGTACCAATATTAGCCAACAGCCCATGAGCAGCTGCTGACCCATTCCGGCACTCACTGACCTCTGTGGAGACCAGGTGATACATCATGTCATGGTGGCAGATCACCATTTACCCTCTGTAGATTGGAGTCAAAGTGAGTGACTAAAAGGCAGTGAGTGCACAGATAGGTCCCTGCTGCAGAATCCACAACGAAAGGAGGGGAGGAGGGGACACAGAGGCCAGACTGCTGACTTGGGCCCCATGTGCTCATGATGTTGGCATTCAGAGTTTGCTCAGTGTTTACACTTACTCTGCCAGAATTCAGTGTGTTCCAAATGAAATCCCTCAGTTGTTCATCGGACACCTCTCCACCGAGCTCCTTCTGAAGGTTGGTCAGCCATACCAGCACTTCCTACAGGCGAGAGGAAGACAGATATAAAATCGCTTTACTCCATGAATGAGTACTGCCACCTGACCCCGTTATCATCGGTTTTGGAGGAAAATCAAAATCAACCCAAGTCATTGTAAATTTGCAAAATAAAAGTGACCCCCGGGTCTGACTTCCGGGTCATTGGGTCACTGCGGAGGTGATAATGGCTGGCCAGCAGTGAGGTGGAGTACACAATCCGTTAAATAACTGCCGTTAAAGGGGTCGGACTGATTCGCAACAATCTGTGCAGGAACTATATCAACCCTGCCTGGGAACAACAACAGGGAAGTTACTTAATGCCAAGCCTCAGACGGCAGATACATACAATGATCTGGTGACCACTCTGAATACAGCAGCAATTCCAGTTCCCAATGTCGTGATAGATCTGGATTTCACCAGCAGAGAGAGCGAGAGAGAGAGAGACCGTGTTCCTCTCCTGCCAGAAATTCCACCTGTGGCGCGAAATCGTGCAAATTTCTTAAATTCTGCCTAAATTCGGAAGCCTTTTCTCCTCAGCGCTTGAAAAGATAATGTTTCCAAATTGAGAAAGTAAGAATTCTGCAAATCCCTTTGGAACGCGTTCTTGCTTTCCATTACCTGATTTGCAAGTCCATGAAGAGGTCCAGCCAGTCCGTTCATTGCAGCTCCAAAGCACAGGTAGGGGTCGGAGAGAGCGCTACCCACGAGATGGCTGGTGTGAGCACTGACATTCCCACCCTCATGATCACTAGTGGGAGAATTAAACCAACAACAATCAAAGATAGTGTCACAGATTTAAGTTAATACTTCACCCGACCAGTGTTATCACATCCCTGAATCCTCACTAATGTGGATCTGTTTGGCTCAGTTGGAAGCACTCCCGCCTCTGGGCAGGAGATTATGGGTTCATACCCCATGTTCCTGAGTCCAGGCTGAGGCACTGAGGGAGCTCTGCACTGTCAGAACTGATGAAATAATAAACTGAGATCCCACCTGTACTATTCAGGTGGGCGTTACAAAGCACACGGCTCTTTAAATGATTCTCAAGAGGTGAACGTTTCCCATAGCATTTTGGCCAACAATGAACCAAGCATTAACATTAAACATTTTTTAATGTGACTTGATATATCAGGCGCTATAGCAAATGCAAGAATTATTATAATAATCACACATGCTTGAAGAGTTTGTGGTATTCTGCAGGGGGCTCTCACACCAGGAAGGAGGGGGTTAAGGCACTGACCTGTGAATAGTGAGGTAAAGTCTCATAAGCTCAGTAAACTGTGGTTCAGTGTAGCCCAGCATGTTAGTAAAGTTGTGAGACCAATCCAGCTTAGAATCAATAGCTCCAATACTGCTGCCTTCTCTGTACAGGTTCCGATAGATCTTAGCTGCCACACAGGGCAGTTTAGCAATCAGATCCATTGAATCTTCATATATAAACTGAAAGGGAAAGACAATTCAAACTGCAAGTCAACATCTCACTATGTTGGGATCAGGTCCAATCTCAAGCCCTTTCAATAAACATTAGGTGTAATTTTTCACACTCATCTTTACTCTTCCTGTGCACCATATCCCTATGGGCCAATGTGCTCACAACTCAAACAATAACAACAACAACAAGATTCCATTTATAAAGCGCCTTTCACGTCAGGAGGACGTCCCAAGGCGCTGCACAGTTGGGTCATGACCCGAGCATTGGGGGGAAATGGTCAGGGTGAGGGGAGGGAAGGGAGGGAGAGAGGAGGGGGGAAATGGTCAGGGTGAGGGGAGGGAAGGGAGGGAGCGAGGAGGGGGAAGAGAGTCGAGAGGGGAGCTGAAGGCATGGTCAAAGAGAAAGATTTTGAGACCGGCCTTGAAGGAGGAAAGGGAGGAAGCGGCGAAGGCACTGGGGGAATGGAGTTCCAGAGCCTGGGGGCTGAGAGGCTGAAGGCCCGACCACCGATGGTAGGGTGGTTGGGGCGGGGGACGTGGAGCAGACCGGAGCCAGAGGAACGGAGGGTACGGGCAGGTAGGTAGGGGGATAGTAGGTTGGAGAGGTAGGAGGGAGCAAGGCCGTGAATGGCCTTGTAGGTGAGGATGAGGATCTTGAAATCAAAGTCACAACTCAAGTAAGTTCTAGTGACTCTTCTGCCTTCTTGTATTTGCACAATTAGAACAAGTTGCTATGGTTCAATACTGGATAACAAGCTCCCAAAGGCTAATACAGATTGTCGGACAGTGGGATTTTATTCCTGAAATCTTCATGTTGCCGTCAACAGTTCTGGGATTCACACTGGGCAGAATAATGCAAAAATGAGTCTTGTAAATATTACATAGGTTATAAAGTGATTAACGCCATTTTCTGGACATACAGCACAGATAGACGCCAACAACAACAAAATTACATGTGTATCACACCTTTCACATCAGGAGGATTTCCCAAGACGCTGGACAATCAATGTTTCGGATCCGAGCTGGGGGTTGGGATTGGGTAGGGTGGAGGGCCGGGGGGAGAAGGAGGGTGATCGAAGGCACAGTCACAGAGGAGCAGTCAGTCCCACTTCTTGACTCATTCCCCATAATTCATATATTTTCTTTCCAAGTATTTATCTAATTACCTTTTAATAGCTACAACAGATTCTGCTTTCAACCAACAGATTTGGTGGAGCATTCCATATTTTAATAGCGCTTGGTAAAATATTTTAAAATGTCTTTACCTCTCCCTTAGTTGTTTTGTTTAATAATCGTAAATTTATGCGCTCTAGCAAGTGGTCGACTGTTGTTACAAGTGATAAAATTGGGCCAGAGGAAAACACGACAGACACAGCAGTGGAATGAAGCAACTGTGCACGAGTCTCATATCCCGGCAGCCATTGGTGTATCTGAGCGCAAGCTTAACAAATGCACAGGAGTTCCAGGCAGGCAGACACTGTAGAAAGCCTGTCCTCATCTTCACTCTCCTGCCCTGGGGTTAGTCTAAGAAGATGATAAGCGCTCTGAGATGCTACCCTGCGTGGAGGGTGCTACGTAAGTACAAGTTGTTGTTGCTGTCGTAGCTACAACGGAACCTGGCTTCACTGCACGTCGAGCAGGTGTCCAGGTGTAAGGCAGGGCTGCATGTCATGAACCACAAACGCTGTTCGACAGTAGCCGCCGTATGCAATGTAAGGAATATTATAGTGGAAGTTGTACATGTGGTAAGGAGCTGATTGGAGGTAAGCAAAGTCAATACAGAACATTCAATGTGGGAAACTAACAAACGACACAATCGTCTTACCTCCCAGTACTTGGCCTTGTTGACTCCCTCAGCGTAGGCGCGAGCGAAGCTGCTCTCGCTGTTGAGTGCCGTGACGGCTGCACTGAGCTGAGACATGGGATGCAAGTTGTTGGGGAAGTTGTCCAGCATGGTGACCACATGGGAGGGCAGCGCGGCACGCTTTGCCCATTCTGTAGACAGCCAGGCCACCTGCACAAGAGGAAACACTTGGGCTTTAAAACATTCTGAAGGAAACGCAGACCTTATGGAGCTGCTCCCACAGACAAGTCAAAGTCCCCTAAGGAACCATTCCCGAAAGAAACAAATGATGTGGTTTCCTGAGAGCCATTGCCTCAACAACACAAATTTACTACAACAACAAGATTCCATTTATAGAGCGCCTTTCACGTCGGGAGGACGTCCCAAAGCGCTGGACAGTTGGGTCAGGACCCGAGCAGGGGGGGAAATGGTCAAGGGTGAGGGGAGGGAAGGGAGGGAGCGAGGAGGGGGGAAATGGTGAGGGGAGGGAAGGGAGGGGGCAAGCAGGGGGTAGAGAGTCGAGAGTGGAGCTGAAGGCTCGGTCAAAGAGAATGGTCTTGAGACCGGCCTTGAAGGAGGAAAAGGAGGAAGCAGCGAAGGCACTGGGGGATGGAGTTCCAGAGCCTAGGGGCTGAGAGGCTGAAGACCCGGCCACCGATGGTAGGGCGGTTGGGGCGGGGGATGTGGAGCAGACCGGAGCCAGAGGAACGGAGGGTACGGGCAGGTAAGTAGGGGGATAGTAGGTCGGAGAGAGCGAGGCCGTGAATGGCCTTGTAGGTGAGGATGAGGATCTTGAATTCGATCCTCTGGAGGATGGGGAGCCAGTGGAGGCGAGCGAGGGTGGGAGTGATGTGGTCCCGAAGCCTGGTGCGGGACAGTACACGAGCTGCAGAGTTCTGAATGACCTGCAGTGTGGAGGGAGGGCTGGGAAGGCCGGCGAGGAGAGAGTTCCCATAGTCCAGCCTTGAGGTGATAAAGGCGTGGACCAGAGTTTCAGCCGCGTGAGGGGTGAGGTAGTGCCATAGTCTGGCGATATTCCGGAGGTGATGGAAGGCAGTGCCAGTTGTGATGCGGATATGAGGGAGAAAGGACAGCTCAGGGTCGAAGAGAACCCCGAGGTTCCTGATGGCTTTGAGAGGTGGAGAGTGCGGCCTTGGATGCTGATGCTGTCAGCGCCTGAGGTGCGGAGGCGCTGACGTGAGCCAATCAGGAGGGCCTCAGTTTTACGCACGTTGAGCTGAAGAAAGTTGTAAGGAGAACAATCCCAGTTTCTCTGGGCTCTTAACATAACTAAAGTCCCTCACCCCTGGTACTATTCTTGTAAATCTTCTCTGCACCCTCTCCAAAGCCCTGACTTCCTTCCTAAAGTGTGGTGCCCAGAATTGGCCTAGACTTTTTTGAGCCCACACTGTGTGTACAACAACAACAAGATTCCATTTGTAGAGCGCCTTTCACGTCGGGAGGACGTCCCAAGGCATTGGACAGTTGGGTCACGTTGAGCTGAAGAAAGTTGTCTCTCGTCCAGGACTCAATGTCGGACAGGGAGGCTGTCAGGACATTGGGGGTCGTGGAGTTGAGGGTAGAGGAGGAAAGGTAGAGTTGGGTGTCATCCGCATACATGTGGAAGTTAACCCCATGTCTGCGGATGATGTCACCAAGGGGGAGCATATAGAGGGTGAAGAGGAGGGGACCGAGGACAGAGCCCTGAGGGACACCGCACGAGACAGTGCGGGGGGGAGGAGAAGCCGTTCGTAGAAAAAAAATGAAGACGGTGGGAGAGGTACGACCTAAACCACTCAAGGACAGGGCCTTGAAGGTTGAGGTGGGAGGACAAGCGGTGGAGGAGGATAGCGTGGTCGACCGTATCGAATGCTGCCGATAGGTCGAGGAGGACGAGGAGGCAGAGGGAGCCCTGGTCGCAGATGGTCAGGATGTCATTGGTGACCTTGACCAGGGCAGTTTCTGTGCTATGGGCAGCACGGAAACCCGACTGAAGGGGTTCGAAACAGCGCAGCTGGGAGGCGACAACTCTTTCAAGGACCTTGGACAGGAAGGGGAGGTTGGAGATGGGCCAGAGATTGATAGCTGCGACGCATCAAGGGAGGGTTTTTTCAAAGTGGGAGTGATGATGGCAGTTTTTAGGGGAATGGGAACAGAGCCAGAGGAGAGGGACAGGTTGATGATGTCTGTGATAAGTGGGGCAAGGAGGTGGAGCTGGGAGATAAGGAGTGGAGTGGGGATGGGGTCAAGGGAGCAGGTGGTGGGTTTCAGGGATAGGATGAGTTTGGTGACAGAGGGTGGGGAAACGGGTACGAAGGTGTGTAGGGGAGGATGGGTAGGAGTCGGAGTGTGGGAGGGAAGGGGTGGGTGGAAGTTGGAGGGGAAGTGACCGCGGAGCGGATTCCCTTGATTTGGATTCAAGGAAATCCAGCATCTCCTCGCAGTGAAGGTTGGAGGAGATGACCTGCGCGGGGTGGTGGGGGGGACGGAGGAGTCGGGATGTGGTAGAAAACAGAAGCCTGGGGTTGTTCTTCGCCTCCAGGATTATCCTGGAGTAGAAGGACGACTTGGCCGAGGCTAGAGTGGAGCGGTAGATTTTGAGGAGGTCCAGCCAGATTTGTCGGTGGACCGTTAGGCCAGATTTGAGGCAGGTGCGTTCAGCGGCCCGCACCTGGCTCTTCAGTGAGCGGAGGTGGGTGGTGAACCAGGGGGAGGAGCGAGAGTAGGAGACAGTACGGGAGGTGATGGGGGCAAGAGTGTCGAGTGTGGAGGAGAGGGTGTTGTGGAGGAGGGTGAGAGGAGAAGAGGGGTCAGTGAGGGTTGAAGGCCAGAGGGAGAGGAGTTCAGAGGACTCCAAGGCAGAGGTTAGGGATTGTGGGGGTAACTTCTTCCAGGGGCGGTAGAAGATGGTGGTGGATCTGGTGGAGGTGGGTGGAGGTGGTGAAGGAGATGAAGTGGTGATCGGAGACGGCCTTGTCGGTAATGGTGATATCCAAGACACTGAGGCCCCGGATGATCACCAAATCGAGTGGGTGGCTGTGACTGTGAGTGGGGAGTTGATGTGGAGGGAGAGGTTGAGCGAGGAGAGCAGGGAAGAGAAGTCTGAGGAGATGGAGCAGGAGGGGGTGAAGTGCAGGTTGAAGTCGCCCAGGATGATGAGGCGATCAGAGCAGAGGCAGAGAGATGTAAGAGTGTAGAAATATCAGAGATGAAGGTGGGAGAGGTTTTAGGGGGCCGGTAGAGGAGGAGGATTTTGAGTGAGAGGAAGGAGGGGTGGGAGAGGGTGAGGTGCTCGAAAGAGGGGAAAGAGCCAGAGGAGTAGGGGGATAGGGCAAGTGGTGTCCTTGAGATAAGGGCTACACCACCGCCACGGCGGTTGGGGCGAGGGATGTGGTGGGAGGTGTAGCCGGGTGGCGTGGCCTCCGTGAGGGGGAAGGTGTCGCCTGGGGTGAGCCAGGTTTCCGTTAAGGCCATAATGTCAACGCTCTCATCAAGGATGAGATCGTTGATGACCAGGGCCTTGTTACAGAGGGAGCGGACATTTTGTAGTCCGATGTGGAGGGAGCGGTTGACAGAAGGCTGTGTGGGGAGGGAGGGGGTCCAGGTTGTGGAGCAGGGGTGGGGGAATGGGGATGAGGGAGGAGAGGTTGGCTCCCCGGGTCTGTGTCCGGGGTGGCTGGCGAGTGTAGTGGGGAATGGGGCAGTTGGTGTGGCTGCTGCTGGACAGCCAACGCCGAGTGCCACGGTGAGCCCGGTGGAGGGTTCCCAGGCTGGAACAGAGAGAGGTTGTAGGAGGGTCAAGTGGGGATAGAAGGCGAGAGGGACGGAGAGAGAGGAGGACAGAGCGGGAGAGATGCAGAGGGGGGAGGATTTGGGGGGAGAGAGGAGAGGGTAAGGGGGCTCAGGTCAGATCGGCAGCCATAGTGCGCATGCGGGGACCGGGAGCGAGCGGTTAGGTGAATGGCATTAGCCCATAGGCTGGGGCTGGGGCAGCCAACCCAACAGGACCATGGTGGGCCCTGATGCAAGCCCGGGGGGGGGGGCACAGAGGTTTTTTGTTTTTTGTTGCGCGCGCACACTCCTGAAACTAAACTATGATGTCAGCGGTTCCCCCACACCGCCCCCACAGACCCCACCCCCTTCCTCCCTAGCTGAACTCCCTGCCGCCTCATGCTTTATTACCTGAGAAGGTAAGCCCAGGCTCCCCCTCCCCTACTATTTCTAGATTCTCAGCCATTTTGGAGGTGGAGGTAAAGAGGAACTCCCCACTATTACCTGCATTATATGCCCAGAGGAGGGGACAGAATTCGGATTTGTCACATGTACAACCACTTCCCATTACCTGTTCTGGAGTGGGGATTTGTCCGGTCACAAGCAACCAGAAGAGCCCTTCAGGAAGAGGTTCATCTCCACCTGGGCCCTTAGGTAAAACCTTCTGACACTCTGGTATGCTATACCCACGGAAACGAATACCCTAGCAACAGATAATATATAAAAATTAAGATGCACGCATTTAACAAGTTCCCATTTGCAATGTAGCCCCAAGCCCCAACACCTTCTCAACACCCTCCCTGATCCCAACTCCCTCCGCGCCCCCCCCCCACCCCTGGGTCCTAATCCCTCACTGTTCAGCGCCTTGGGAAGTTCTCCCGACCTGAAGGGCGCTTTACAAATGTAGTTTTGTATTGAATTGTGAAGGAGATGTGAAACCAAGATATTGGACTTATATGAATTTGGGAGGGTAGCCAAATTCTGTTCACATAGAACACAGGAACTGATGAAGGGTCGTGGACCTGAAACGTCGACTCACTTTCCTTTCTCCAATAGATGCTGCCTGACCTGCTGAGTGTTCCCAGCCACTTCTGTTTTTGTTTTCAGATTTCCAGCCTCTGCAGCATTTTGTGTTTTGTTTATATTCACACATTGCCCAGGTTTGCCCAAACACGACATACCCTTTATACAAGGGCATAGTTAAGCTTGATCAATTATTTCCTGGGTGTCTTTGTGATATTGCTATGTGCAAATACATGGTTGCATTCCCCTACACTATTATTAGGCTTTACGTAAGACTCCACAAAGAGCTTCAAGTCATTTTGATGTGATAATGTTCTGGAAATAAATTACTAAGGATCATTAAGTAAATGGAGATCACCCAATGGTTTAGCAGCATGAGGCACACAGAGTGGAATCCTTTCTCACACAGAGCAAACCGGAGGGCAACCAGCATGTTCAGCACAAATGTTTTTAAGCCGCTTACCTCATCTGGGTCCAGCACTGATGTTTCATATACCAGGCCCTTCATTCCTCTCATGCCTCCGTACATCTGATACAAAACATTGATCAGTTACTAGTTGTAAACAACAACTTGCATTCATAAAGTGTCCATCAAGCAAGGTAGTGTCCCGGAGCGCTTGACAGTGGTGGAGTCTGACACCAAGCTAGGGGGAGAGGGGACCAAGAGCACGATCAAAAACGAAGGTCGTCAGGTGAGATTTGAAAGTGAGGAGGGAGGGGGCAAGGCGGAGGTATTGAGGGAGAATTCCAGAGTTACATTTTAGCGCCTTTCATGTCGGGAGGGCAGCCCAAGGCCAAAATAACTTTCTATACCTACTGCCTATGTATAGCAACATGCCCATGCAGATGGTCAATTACTATTGAGACAGTTATTTAGACGATTACTATTTAGCAACATGGCTCCGGGAAATTGGGACGATTCTCATCACCGGCTGACGGAAGCTGAAACAAGACGTACCATGTCCACGTTGATCTGTCCAATAACGGTTTTGCCATATTGTTGTTTGAAGGCTTTAATGCGGGTTTGTTCTTTGGGTATGAGATCTGCAAGAACGTCCTTCAGATTCTGTGCGCGAGGAGGAAATGATTTCCATATAAAAACATAGTGATATAGAATGCATTGTTGCTGCTTCTAAGGTTTGAAGGTAAAATTAGTACTTATAATTCTTGATGCAAAATAAATGACTGGTTGTTGGGAGTACTGTATCCAGGTCTGATTTCCGCAGTATAAGGTTATTGCCACCAACTACTGCAGTCGATACCCCAAATGGTTAATTGGAGATCAACAGAAACAGACCCTTTCAGCAGACAGGGACCATTATAGCCTTTTGTCAGTGATAATGTCACCAGTTTTACTATTTTCCAGTTCTTTCCCCCAAATCCCTGAACAGAACTCACAAAGCTTGAGCCCAAGAAAGAAAAACGTGCTATTTTCAAGCAGTGTTTTAATTTGCATTAAATTTGCATAAAAACACAAAGGGATTAATTTGATAACACAACAGTAAAGTTAATCCACTGAATGATACAATCCTGGATACTCACAGTGGATGAGCTGGTATTCCTTGCAGCAACTACTATGAACGTAGCATTCTGCAAATGACAGAAAGGGAGGTTTAGACCAACGGTTAATGGCATCACAGTATAAAATTACACTGGCTTCAGGTTGCACTGACTCGAGCAAAGCTCTACAGAGACTGCCCGGTATTCAGCTGCTACAGTAAATAATCTTCCTTGGGGTTTTCTTACCTTCCTATAGAGAAATATTTCTCCTGCTTTCAGCCCGAAGAATAAAACTAAAGTGACAAAGGTGTAATGAGTCTGTGGCCATGCCACACAACTAAGGAACATGGCATAAATCCCATTTTTACTATTGTTATTCTATGGATTGACTGGATTGTCAGACACCTAGTGCCGGGTGAGGGATTGGGAGGAGAAGATAGATGGGGGAGAGCAGTTCAGAAGTAGAATGCCGCCCGCATTCTCACCCGCACCAAACTTTGTTCCCCCATTACTCCAATCCTGGCCAAACTCTACTGGTTCCTGTCACAGAGTGAATCGACTTCAAGATCCTCACTCGAGTGTTTAAATCCCTCCATTCCTTGCCTCCCCATCTCTCTAACCTTCTCTCTCCCCACAGCAGTACCCGCTGCCTCCGCTCTACTGGGTCCGGCATCGTCCGTGTCCCCCAGAACGTTCCCTCCACCATTGGTGGCCGTGCCTTCAGCCACTATGCCCCAAAACATTGGAACTCCCTCCCTCAACCCCTTCGCCTCGCCCCCTCCTTCTCCATCTTCAGGTCACGCCTGAAGACCTTCCTCTTTGACTGTGCCTACGATCATCTTGATCGTGCAGTCCTGTAGCTCAGTGGTTAGAGCACTCGACTTGCAAGCGAGACACCTGGGTTCAATTCTAGGCAGCGCGAAACCGTGAGCAAGTTTCCTTACTCCACACACCTAATAATAATCCCTCCAAAACAAAACAATGAATTGGTCATTTTCAACCCACGGCTGTTTATGGGACACTCACTGCTGTGCGCAATTGGCTGCCGCGTTTCACCCACAAATATACAGTCAATTCACTTTACAGTCTATTCTGTGAAGCGTTTTGAGACGTCGAGAAGACGTGAAAAGCGCTATATCAAATGCAAGGATTATTATTATTATATATCTTCCCCTTCCCCCGGCTCAGCCTTGGGCTCTGCCATTGTTAAGCTCTGAGACCCCGCCTGGCGTGGAGGGCGCTGTATAAGTGCAAGTTGTTGTTGTTGTAGAATCAACAGCACTTAAACTGAAATTAAACATTGATTCTACACAAATGACACTGAATCAATAGCAGCAGTGTGACGAATAGAACTGGGGCAATAATCACACATTTCCACCCTATCCACAACAACAACAACTTGGATTTATATAGCGCCCTCCACGCCGGACGGCATCTCAGAGCGTTTCACAGCAACGGATCCCGAGACCGAGCTGGGGGGAGGGGGAGGAGCCGGGGGGAGGGGGAGGAAGGTGACCAAAGGTGCGGCCGAAAAGAAAGGTCTTCAGCAGAGACCTGAAAGTGGGAAGGGAGGGAGCGAGACGAAGGGAGTGAGGAAGGCAGTTCCAGAGCCTCGGGGCACAGGGGCTGAAGGCACGGCCGCCGAGGGTGGAGCGGAGGACTCGGGGGACAAGGAGGAGGCCAGACCCGGAGGAACAAAGGCAACGGGTACTGTGCTGAGGAGAGAGGAGGTCAGAGAGGTCGGGGGGTGCAGAGGAGTGCAGGGACTTGAATACGAGGGTGAGGATCTTGAAGTCGATCCTCTCTGGGACAGGAGTCAGTGCAGTCTGGCCAGGACTGGGGGGATCGGGGAGCGGAGTTTGGCACGGGTGAGAATGCGGGCGGCAGTTTTGTATGACCTGGATTTTATCAATGTAGTGGACGGGAGACCGGCGCGGAGGGCGTTAGAGTAGTCCAGCCGAGAGGTGACAAAGGCATGGACCAGGGTTTCAGCAGCTTTTGGAGTGAGGTATTGGCGGAGATGGGCGATGCGTCGGAGGTGGAAGAAGGCGGTGCTGGTGAGGGACTGGATGTGGGGAAGGAAGGATAATTAGGGGTCGAACCTGATGCCAAGGTTGCGTACGGGTTTGGAGAGTTTTAGGGAGAGGTCGGGTAGGTGAGGAGGTGAGAGCCGTGAGATTTTAGACGTTGACGAGAGCCAAAAGTATGGCTTCCGTCTTGTCAACATTCAGTTGAAGGAAATCTGTGCTCATTCAGCCCCTGAGGTCTGACAGGCAGCTGACAGAACACCAGGGGACTGGGGGTCGCAAAGAGAGGTGGAAAAATAGAGTCGGGTGTCGTCTGCATACATGTGGAATTGTACCCCACGTCTGCGGATGACATCCCCAAGAGGGAGCATATAGATCAGAAAGAGGAGGGGCCAAGGATGGATCCTTGGGGTACCCGCAGGTGACCAGGTGAGAGAGAGAGGAGAAGCCGTTTGTGCAGATGTACTGCTGGCGGTTTGTGAGGTAGGACTCGACCAGGCGAGTGCGGTCCCACTGAGGTGGAGGGCAGAGGAAAGGTGATGGAGGAGGATGGGGTGATCGACTGTGTCGAATGTGGCAGAGAGGTCCAGGAGGACAAGGAGGCAGAGGGAGCCCTGGTCACAGATAGAGCGGATGTCATTTGTGACTTTCACAAGTGCAGTCTCTGTACTGTGGGCGGAAACCGGACTGGAGGGGTTTGAAGAGGGAGTGGGAGGAGAGGTGTGCGCGGAGTTGATTGGCAACAACGCGCTCTAGAACTTTTGAGAGGAAGGGCCGGTTAGAAATAGGGCAGTAATGGCTGGGGTTTGAGGGATCTAGGGAGAGTTATTTTCAGAGGGGAGTGATGACAGCAGTTTTGAGGGAGGCAGGGACTGATCCAGAGGGACTGGTTGATGACGTCAGCCACTAGTGGGCAGAGGAGGGGGAGCTTGGTGACCAGTAAGTTGGTGGGGTGGGGGTCAAGGCAGCAGGTGGTGGGTTTCATGGAGGTGATGGTGGGTGAGAGGGAGGAGGGAGAGATGGGGAGGAAGGAATGTAGGATAGGGGTGGTGGTAGGAACAGATGATGAAGAAGGTGAGGGGGACAGAGAGTGCGTGGTGGTAGGTGACAAGGGGCAGTGGGTGAGGCTGCCTGGCGGATGTTAAGTATTTTAGATGAAAAGAAGCCCATGACCTCCTCGCACTTGGCATTTGATATGAAGATTGAGGAGGCCTGAGGGAGGGCACGGAGGAGGTAGTGGGTGGTGGAAAAAAGGATTTTAGGGTTGTGTTTAGCCTCCAAGATGATGTTGGAGGTGAAGGCCGTTTTTGCGTGTGTCAAAGAACTACGGTAGCCGTGGAGATGCTCGAGCCACAGTTGGCGGTGGACTGTCAGGCAGTTTTCCGTCATCTGCGCTTGAGCAGCCGGGTTTGGGTTTTTAGGCGGCGGAGATGGTTGTTGTACCGGGGGATCGGGTGGGTTTGGAGATGGTTCTGGATTTCAGGGGGACGAGGGAGTTGAAGGTGGAGGAGAGGCGATCATGGAGCAGCTGGACAGCTGCTTCAGGATCGCTGCGGGTGGAAGGCCAGAGGGATAGAATGTTTGATGATGAGAAGGCCTTTGTGAGGGTCTCAGGGGGTAGCCTTTTCCAAGTGCGTTAGAGGATGGTTGACGGCTTGGTGGAGGAGAGAAGGATGTGAGGAGAAGGAGATGAAAAAGTGGTCCGAGATGGCCTTGTCCACTATGCTGAGGTCGGAAATGTCAAGGCCATGGGTGATGACGAGGTCAAGTGCATGACCACAGTTGTGGGTGGGTGAATTTATATGAACCCATAACCAATGGGAGAGTAGGTGGGTCACAATTTACCCATAAACCAAACCCATTGTAAGTCTTGCACCACAGATTGTGCAAGACACCTGAATGTTGGAGATGTTGTTATAGGTGGTGGAATGCATACATGTGGAACATAACTTGGGAAGCAAGGCGAGAATAAAACTGGAAGGAGAAAGAGGCTCTACTCTTCCAGCCCACAGTCCTTTCATCTAATGTGGTCAAGCATTGGGTTCAGGCCTCAGTGATGCCCAAAAGCCACTTTTGACTGGGAATCACTCAGTCTCTACTCAGCTCCACCAAGAACAGGTTTGGGAAGTCAGAATCTAGCATTCCTCTCCATGCTCCTCACACATGTTTGTGACAGACGCAAATAAAAACCGACAATCTTCTTTTCTGGTATAATGGACATGTATTATATTATTTATCTTCGCAGCAACAAAAAGCTTTGGTTTGTAATTATCAGCATTTAAAATGCTAACAATAACAGATTTTGTGAAGCGGGTTAGCTTGAAACATTTATATACTCAAAACACAGGCTCTAGATCTGCTGCCAGACAGACGACACAGCAAATTGTACAAGGCAGTAGTGGGTCTGACTGAAGCCCTGGTGTCACCTTGTGTCGAGAACAAGGACACTGCGTGCGTTCCTGCAGCTCCCGGCCCTGATAATATCAGATGCTTACCTACAGTGCAGTCACTGGGCAGTGCACAGACAGCACAATGATCCTTGCAAAACCTGTGGTGCAAGATTTTCAATGGATGCTGTTTCTGGGAAGCATCTGTGATGCAATCAAGACCACTGGAATTTTATAATACTGTAAATGTAATTTGACTTTGTCAGACATGATCAATAAAACACTGTAGGTAAACACTGAGGCAGCACATGCTGCAGTGATGATAAGGACAGGAACATGACCCCAAACCCCCACCCACCCCCATCACACGTCCCTGTTTGGAGGGAAAGCTCTGAATAGCATTTAATGACTCATTTGGAACAAGGCATTGCAGCTGGCATTTCGGGCATCATCCTATGATTTCAATACAGGTATTTAATGAAATTCAGCTTCATACAGCTGTGCTTAACAAACAACAAGCCATGCTTACTGGTGACTCCCTGGTCTGCAGCTTGAATTATCTGACAAAGAGGTTACTTTAAAGTGTAGTGAATGTTATTTAGGTATCATCTTGATGAGCACGATCTTCCTACCATCAATGTATTTGTGAAACACTGAGCCCTCGGTGAAGGAGTTC